AATAGGATACATAAAATCTTCAGATAACTCAACTTCATACAAAGGATAAACAGTGGTAGCTCTAATTGACGTTCCAAAGTGGCCAAGATAAATGGGCGTAAATAGATTACTGTAATTAACTAAGTATTGAAGTAAAATTCTTCTACAATAGAAAATTTATTCTTTTTTTGCCTCAGGAAATCTTTTTGTATTTAAATAAATAAAAAACATTATTTGATCGAGTGATACCGATTAGTATTCAATTTTAAATGAAAACTCAGAAACTTTTAACAAAATAACATAATAAACCAAAAAATTTTTTTTCAAATTTAATTTTTAATTTAAATTAAAGTACCCAGCACAGTATGGCCGTGTCATAGTTGGAATAAATATAGGTGATATTTTATAGTTATTTATATCAGAAATAGAAAAACTATTTAATGCGAATTGAGTGTTTTATTTTTAATTTTCGTTAATTATAGGTTCAATTAAATTAATTCGGGTTCTTTTGACACTTTGATAAGTATTTATTTTATTAAACTTTCTACCCTATTTTCGTGCTATTTTTAAAATATTGTGTCAGTATACATGGTGTCTTTAATTAATACTAAAATTGTTGAGTTCTAATTCATGTGAACTACTATAAAGTTTTAGTTTTTTATTCTTATATATATTTTTGTCAAATCAGTATGAACACAAGATCTACTTTTTTTTCTTTTTCTAATGCTATCAATAAATCACAGAATTTCGTATACATTTTTGATTAAAATATGTTTTATAGGTTATTGTTCTATCCGAAATAGTCCATAGAAATTATGCAAACTCAGTTTATCCATTTCTAATTAAAATTCATTAGTTCGTAATTTACTGAACTTCAGCTTTCCAAGTTCTGAACTCGTTAAGAACACTGCGCATTAACAAATTAATGTACAAACGGCGGAATCCCAAGCGGTTCATATTTTCTGTACAATTACTCATCCTCTTCAACCGATAATAGTCGGCACAATCCAATTATGAGTTTTTGAAAAAATACCCTTACAGGATTCTCGCAGTAAGTTTAAAACATAGGGGCTCTCCATCCATAAATTATATTTCATAAATGTAAAACGTCGTCAAGATCCGCTTATAATATTATAAAAAGAATTCTTTGGACCAATAGCAACTCGCCGCCGTCATTATATATTCTACTTTTTATGCAACTGCAGTTAAAATAGAAGAAATAAAATAATTATAATATATTCATTATTCGTGTTTAAACGTTTTTTTATAACGTCAGCCAAAAAAAGGTGGGGAAATCGCTTTGTTGTGTAAAATAATAAACAAGCTGAGAATGAAATGGAGGGGTTTTATTTTCTCTTTTCGCGTGCTTAAGCAAATGACGGTTGAGGAATAAATAATTATATTTACATTTATTTTCATAATACTGTATTGTGAGATTGTATGTTAAGTATTATATGTACTTTTGTGCATTTTTAATAATACCAGACACTAAGAAATTTTAAAATAAAAATTACAATACATTAGAACATAAACATAGCTATGGAGGTGTCATTAAAAAAAATTGCACACTACTGATGATTATTATACGCATTTGACAAAGAATGGAACCTGCATTCAAATTGAAAACCCTGTACTTGAATAAAAAGCACAAAAAGTAAATGAGAATTTCAGCTCTTAAATATGAATATTATGATGTCTGGAAGTAATTAAAACAAAACGAATACATTAAATATATTTTAATTCAAATAGGTACGATTAAAAAAGAAATTAATTGTATGAAATTATAAAAAAAATACAATGTGATTAAACGTAAAATACTTCATCTGTTTCGTTAGCATTTATTTTTTTAAACTTTACTTTTCGATAAAAGTAATACTTAAAAATAAATAAACTTTGTATTTCTATGGTATTACTATGCATCTCTTAAATATAATTGCTCTTGTGCATATTGTAGCCATATGTATACAGATGTAACATCTCTCAACTTAAAATGTCATATTTAATTTCTATCTATCGCTAAATCAAAATGGCTCAAATACCAATCGGAGTAGAACAGTTTTTTTACTGGTATAATATGAATGTGACGAACAATTTGATTTTCGACCAGCCTAGGGCCGAATGAACGGAATATTACTTAGGGTTTCAGATTCAGAAATTCGGTTTTTGATTGGTAAAAAAAGACCCTCATATAACATTATGTTTTAATATTCAAATGTAAATTAAGGGGACTAACATTCAGTGTGTATTCTAAAATGTAATCTTTGCTTTACATAATTCTGTGGGGAGATTTATAATGTGAAGCTTTTTCTACTCGTATGTGGGGTTGTAGTTTATAAACGTTAAACTCATAATCATGCCAAACAGGGAATTGGATTTTTATAATAAGTTATTAATTATTTATATATTTAAACGTATAAAAAATAAATCAAAATGTTTCTATATAGATAAAAAGAAAAAAAAGTTTACTAACACTAACTTAAATTCAAAAAATTTTAAATTGATTAAGTTTAAATTTCATTAACGGAAACCCCTACTTTTAGTTTAATTATGTGATAAAAAAAAAACAACAATTTTGTTTTTATAATTTTTTTATCTGTTAAACTGTTTGTTTCAAAATTATGTAAAGCTTTGGATTAAAATAATTAATTCATTATTAATTTGGTATCCATAATACCATCGGCAACAATAAACTAATAAAATAATTTTGGTTATTTATTTGAATCCGATAACACGTTTATTGATATTATAAACTATCGTTTGTTAATATTATGATTCTGCATATAATAAATAACAATTGAAATATTAACAAATGACGTTATTAACATTAATATTACTTGTAAGTAATATATATAATCGCATTTTCTATAGTATTAATAACTGTTCATCAATAATGAAACTAGGATTATCGATTTTAAGTACCATACTCGCTATATCAATAATCAGGATTGTATACCAATAAATGATATTGATGATATTAATAAATAGTATTCGTTATATTTATAAATGTTAAAAAATACATTATTTTATTAATCAAGTTATAAAATATAACTTTATATATATTTTATTAAATAATAAATAAAATGATAAAACAACTATTTAAAATTAAGAATTAAAGCCTTTAAAACATATAATTAAGGAGAACTTAGCTTGTCACATAGCACAGGAAACTACATAGAATTCAAAAAACAACAGTGTCTTGTTTGTATTAAAAATAAATATAATCTTAATGTAAATATCACTAAAACTATGTATAATTTTTTTTCTTATTTACTGATATTTGAGTGCTTCTTCTTATTGTGTAAACTAGTTTCTTAATGTTTATATTTTTCGCATATGCATACCTCTGGTTCTAAAAAATATTACATATAGTTTTAATTTTACAACTCATTTAAAAAGAGTAACAAGATATTATAATTCTTTTATATACCTTGTCTTTCTTCCTAAATTAACATTTTAAAAACTGTTTTCTTATTTTTAAACACCGAACAGATGCGTAATCAAACAGAAGATTTCAGTGTCAAATGAAATGCTTAATTTATTCATATAATGATCTTAGATTAAGCTCATTTAATTATTATACAATGGTAGCTTCAAATGTGAAATGACAAAAAAAAATTGCGTTATCAATACAAAGTTTGGAACCTTTAAGAATCGGTTTAAATTGTTTATAATAAAGAAAAAAAAATTTTAGAACCCAACCGGAACCTCAAATAATTTATTTTAAAGAACCATGTTAAGTACTAGACCCCACCAAATATCGATTATTTTAAAGATTTCTAAAATTTGTTATAAACTATGTCAACAGTAAGTTAAAATAACTCGTATATTAAAATATTAATTATATTATTATCACAATAATATTTTGCGGTAGATATAATAGCATACGATTAATGAGTTGATTTATGGTGTAATAAAAGACTATATGAAAATAATCAAATATTATAAAATGATAATACAGTTCGATAAAATTTTGATTATAGAATGCTTATGAGATTTGTTTTATTGTTTCTGATAGGTTTTTTGGCGTTGATTCTGAATATCGTTCTCATCAATATATTTTACTCTACCATCAATGTTTTAATCACAATTTGAGAATTTATTTTTTTCGTCCCTTCAAGCATATAAACCCTTATTTATAATTTTCTTAAATGGGAACCCTTATTTTTAACTTTATAATATGATAGAAAAAAAAATTATAAACAATTTTGTTCTTTTAATTTTTTTCATCCGATTAACCTTTCGTTCGTTACAGCTTGTTAAAGTTAAGTGATTTTAGGCCAAATTTCTATTGTCATTTTACTGTATTAAATACAGAAGTCATTATTTTTATTTGCTGTTGCATAAACCAAATTTTATTGATCAAGTTATGACAGGTAAATTAGCTATAAAAATTTACTACGCACTAAATAAGTGATAACAATAATAGATTCAAACCGGGTTTTTGGTGGATTATTAATAGCTAAGTCTATGGTTTTGTAAGACTAAAGGTCTAACAAAAATACCGGTTGCACTGCCACTGACATTATGAAACGTAATAAATGACAATATTTTTTCTGAAAGTCAAAATCTTTAAACAATTATAAAACGTAAACGGTTGTTCGGATAAAAAAAATAATAAGAACAAAATTGATTGTAATTTTTTTTTCTATCATATTATCAAATCAAAAATAGTGGTTTCCATTTAAAAAAATTATAAATAAACATTTTTATCCCTGAAAAATAATGTATTTAACTTTATATTATTGTTAAGTTTTATAAACTTAATAATTTTTCTTTTTACAAACATTTTAAATTCTCAATAGTTTCTGAGAAATTAAGTGTCTTACCAGATTTCGATCACTCTGTATAGTGTTACACTATTCACAAATGAAAAAATTTAAATAACCATTTATAAAATAATTTGTATGAAAAATTTTTATATTTGATTTTACTATCTTTAATTTAAATATATTTTATTAATTAGTTAAACAGATAAAATTTTCAAAATCCAATTTTACAGTTTGTACTTTTTTTTTTTTACTAACTTTAACCATGTTTAAAATCTTCGGATTAAAAACATAACTATTATTATGATTACTTTTTTGACTTATTAAATTTTGTTTATCACAATATTAAGGATAATATTCACTAAAATTGACAAAGTAAGAAATGTTTAAGCATTTTTGAATCCTCATAGCATTTTCCATCGACATAATAATATACATTTACAAAATGATTTCAATAATCATGATACTGCAAATATAATCTAAAAGTAAAATTAAAACTATATTAAAAATATTATTAATTTAAAAAAACTAAAAAATATTAAACTCAAAGCCACAAAAAATTAATGAAAAGTCGCGGATACGTATTTCGGAAACAATGTTACCATTATCAACCCTAAAACACATACTCATACAAACACATATACAAATAAAACACTTTTTTTTAATTAAACTTTTATGTGAAAATTCCGTTATTTTACAAATACTCAAATTGTGGCTAAAATTTTAATAGTTAATATTCTATAAGCCAAATTTTGTCGATTGTGTATGTGATATTATAATATCATACTCATAAGTTAAAGATAATAATGTAAGGATAGAATATTTTTAAGAGAATTTTCTCACTAACTGGAATATATTCTTCTGCAAATTATTTGGAAGAATATAATATTTAATAAAATTAGAATTAAATAGCTTCTTTAAGAGTATTTATAAAACTTAAAAATTATTTAAAGTAATAAATAAATTGTTGAAAATTTATGATGGAAAAATAATTATTTTTTATCTGGTTTATAGTAGCTTGATAAAAAAAATACCATTTCCTTTAAAAATGTTGAGTCAATAAATGACTATAGCGCCTAAATGATCTTTATTATTACTACTATTACTTTAGCTTCCCAATATTCCTCAATATTCATTCCTATTGTTTTATAATGTATATTGCATTTCTATAGCTACTATTTGTTTTCTATGGTTTTACAATTTTTTTCAGTTTTAAGGCTTCTTAATGTTTTTTTTTCATTTCTATTGCTTCCTAATGAATTTTTTTTGTTATTTTTATGGCTTCTTTTTTTAATTTCTATGGTTTCTTAATGTTTATTGTACTTATATGGCTTCTAAATTTTTTTTTGCAAATCTATGGCTTCTCTTTTTTTAATTTCTATGGCTTCTTAATAATTATTGTACTTTTATGGCTTCTAAATTTTTTTTTTGCGTATATATGGCTTCTCTTTTTTTTTAATTTCTATGGCTTCTCAATGATTTTTTTTCATTTCTACTGCTTCCTAATGGCTTATTTTACATTTCTATGGCTTTTCAATGTTTTTTATATTTTTTTTGCTTTTTAATATTTTTTGGATTTCTATGGCTTCTTAATATTTTATTTGTTGTACAAAGCCTACAAAAAAATATTTTTTTAATGTAAATACAATCTAAAAATTTCCTGTCAAAAATAGTTCTGCATAATTACAGTAAAATAGAATCAATTATAAACTATAATTAGTAAAATCTTAGTAGTTATTTCTAAAAGTTTAAGCTCTAAATTATTTTAAAATTTGAAAACATGAAATTGGATAGTTGGTTAACTTTTATTCGAAGTTTATTATATCTATAACTTTGTTTGATCGGAATATTTAAAGCTAAATACATTAATAAGATAGTCACCAATTTTTTATTTGTTGACCAATTCAGGAAAATTTTATAATATTATAAAATCTTATAAAATCAAGTTAAATATTTGTACAGATATAATGTTCTAAAAAGTTATTTGAGTGATTATTATAGATAAATAGACTATCAATATGCGTTTAAAATAATTTTATTATTTAAAATATATTATAGAGTTGTAATAATAAAATCTTATTACATTTTGAGATACTATTTTGATAAAGAGGGTCATTTCTATAACCGCCTTTTGAACGTTTAAAATAATAATTTTATGCTTAAATTAGTACTTATGATACCTTCTTTCAAAAAATAAAAAAATAATAATGATAACAATTTTGTTTTTTGACTAGAACATTTTTAGTACTGATTCTTAACTGGAATCCTTAAATAAGATAATTAAGTTTAAGAATTCTTAACAGAATCTGAACTTCTTAATATTTTATTTTATGAACCGTTTTAATACTGGTTCCTATAAATCTCAAAGGTACGAACCCCTGCTCAAGCCCCAAGACAAGCATAATTTAAGATTATTAAAAAACTGTTTGTCACCACATTTAAAAATGATTAAATTTTAATGACTATCTTATTATAATTGATAATAGTGTTATAAGTGATACTAGGATTGACAGCTAGCTATCGAAAGTATACTAGAAATCATGCGAAAAAAAACAAGATATGGAATTAGACTTGCAAACTAAAGCATCGTAGAGACAGTTTATCACTAGGCCACTGAGCAATTATTCAGATTCTGGAATAGAAAGATAAACTACCATATAGGTTGATAACATGATTTTCGGCTGATAGAAACACGGTATCGTGTCATAAGCAGTGGTGTAGTCCTAAAAATGTTTATGGGTATACGCCTATATTATGAATAGAGATAACGTGGGGGGCTCAGTTGCACTTTATATTTACTACATACAATATTTCACAATTATTCTGTTGAACTTTTAACTTTATACATTATCAACAGTGATATAGTCGTAATTTGATCAATGTATAAGTTAAAAACCTAAATGAGGAAACGTGGGGAATTTCACCCCCACACTAATTTTCAAAGGCCTTAACTATAACATAGTTTTGGAGGACGGAATACATATATTTTGATGTTTTAACTGTGTTAAAAATATGTATTTTCTAATTATTACATAATGCAACTAAAACTCCTAATCCTCCCAGATACGGCCTTGCTCCTTCCAACTTCCAAACTATTACTCGAATATTTTTACTGACACTTCTAAGTTCTTACATAAATTAAATTTCATAGTCATATAATTGATAAGTGTATTATTAGATACTGTTATATTTTTTATAAATAAACAATAAACTTTATGCAGTAATAAAATAATCTTACAATCATTGTTTTCAAATCGTTAAAACATAAATGAAATAAACGTGAATAGGTACATGTTAGCACTATCTTAATTCATTATAGGTAATATATTAAATACTAGATTGGTTGGTAAACGGTTTATTACGGAAAAATACAAATTACCAATTTTAACAGCTATAGGTTAACCCAATAACTTTCAGTTTCAACTTAGTATGTGCTATATCGTTTTAAATTTTGTCAAATGTCAATAAAATTGTCGTGAAATGATAAACATTATCCTATTTATTTTATTGATATTTATTTATATACTTTGACAGTATTTTGTTTTACATTTATATTCTATTTTTAAAATGATAATAGTCTCGAGCCATATTTGTGTGATTATAACTTCAGATATATGTTTATATGTGGTATGACTGTAGAGATTAAACAAACTGATAAGAGTTATTCAAAATTTGTGTTTTATGACAAACGTACCTATATTCGATACCCACGTATTACTTTTTATTTTATTCTTTAGTCTATACTCTTTAACTATTTTATAAATACGTATATGCACTAATAAGAAAACTAACAGTGGGTATACGCCTTATACCCGCGTATACGCTCCACGACACCACTGGTCATAAGGTTTAATTTTATGAAAATCTTATTTTGAAAAATTATGAAAAAATCATTTTTATTATTTTAATATATTATAAAAAGATAAATAATCTAAAAATTAAAAAATTAAATTATTTTTGTATTTAAATTAACAATAAAAATGTTTAGCGATAAATTATACAATTTTTTTTTTTAAAGCTAATAACACATTGTTATATTTCAATAAACATGGAGTACTATCTTTAAGTATCAAAAAATATTTTCACGCTTTTACAGTAGTCGTCCAATAATTATTTTTTATATTTTATCAATTGGTCACAAATTATAACCAAATAAAAAGAACAAAGGTTAGTTAACTTGTTAATTCACTAAAAAATTATTTATTCAATAATCGACAGTTAACAGCTGAACAAACATCCGTCATATACATTTAAAAAGTATCCATTATGTATTCGTCATAATGACAGCGTTGGTGTGGTGGTATTGCGTATTTTATAGAACAGTGGGAGGAACTATAGCTACAGCCCCCGGTTTTTTCGATAAAATTATCATGTCACAAGAGCCTGGTGACGGGGAGGCTTGTCAGCCATTTGCATTTATAACCAACCCCTTGATATTTCGTTTTGGAATAATTCCCTTTGGCAATTCATTCATCCAGGCAAATAATAAAAATCCATGTTGCAGGACAAAAGAAAATCGTAAGCAAAGAGTAATATGGTCGCCAAGTTCTATAAACACTGCGGGTGACAAAAATGACGCCATTAACAGCAAAAAATAAACAGCAATGAATAAAAAAGAGGGTTGCAATTTTTGTTTCCTACCATCTCCATCATAAAATCTCTATCTAATATTTTACTATTCGTTGACAGGTAAATATAACAATAGTCTCTTTATTGATGTATTGTGTGTACATTTCAAATTATAGAATTTGAGTATATACTTTAAAAGTGAAAAACAATATTACTTTATTTTAATATATATTTTTTATCATATCGAAATTTACAGTGAACAGTATTACACAAACAATATTATTATACAGATATTTCATTTATATATTTATATTATATTATGATGGTTTATATATATATACATATATTATGTATATTGATAATAATAAAAATGTCTTGACCAAATATAAAATCAAATAAATGGGTACCGGAGTTTAATTTTGAATTAAATAATTCCAACAAATTTTAGTGTCCACTGCTAGAAAATTTCCAGAAGAGGTAAATTAACTGAAATTTTGTTAACTAAATCAAATATCGTGCCTGTTAAAATAATTTTTAGTTTTACCTAATAAGTTATAAAAATCAAGTGTAAAAAAATACACATAATAAAATAAAATTTAAATTATTTTAAAAACAAATTTAACTGGCCAATTCATAAAATATTTTTTTTCTAGACAACAATAATACTTAAAAAAAAAAAAACAGTTTTCAATCATTTACATTAATTTAGATAATAAAAAGAGTGTTTGATATACAGTGATTATAATCACTGTCATAAAAAACGCTTCCATATAAATCTGTATATAGTGTTTAACTTTAAGAAGAAGGGTGGATTATTACAAAAATAATTCCTATGTTTTCTTTTTACAAATTTTTTTTTAAACTTCTAGTACATAAAAGGAACTTTATTTTAATATATATTTAAAATACGCAGATTTTCCAGAATATTATCAAAAGTTTGAAAAAGTTCTACTTTTTATACAAATTTTCAAGTTTTCAAAAATTCAAAAAATTGTTTTAACTTTTCTTAACTTTGAAGTGGCAATATAATCGAAATGAGTATAAATTTATATTTAATGTAAGTTAGATTCATGTAAATTTTATATTTACTGACTGAGTCATTACTATGGCAAACCCTTATAAAGTATTTTAAAATAAACAAAAAAAAATAAAATTTGAACACAGAAATAGCATGTTTTTCAATTACGGTAGCCTTTTGCACGTAGAAGATAAGTCGTCGGGAAATATATATATTTTTAATTTATAGTACATATCATAAGCTTTAATTTGACATGTGTATAACATAACATATGTTTTAAGAACAAAATATTTCCTGAACATTTTTAAAACTTAAGTTAAAAAAGTTAAGTTTTGTAAACAAGCTATTTTGAATCCACCTATGTGGACAGGTAAAGGGTCAGATTATAATAAAATTTATATCAAATAAAAGGAAAATACTTAAGGTTACAATATAAAAAAATTATTTTGTTAATTTTTCAATAAGTTATGGCAATTTATAGAAAAAAAAGTGAAAAAAATGTCAACATTTACCGATTTTAAAAATCGTAATTTTTTGGGGGATTTTTTTATTTACGTGGAACCAGGGAAAATTGTTTAATTTAGGAGGATAATTATTTCAACTAGATACGATTTATAATATTTTAGCGTATCGTTGAGAAAAATCGGTCCAGTAAGAGCTGAGAAAAAGTAGTATCAGACACAAAAAAATAAACACATCATGGTATAATTAATACTTTCTTAGCTTCGCATCGAAGCCAAAATACAATTTAGATAAAATAATAAAAACTATAATAATTATTCATTTGATTTTATAACATCCTATTTAAAGTATTCAATTTATTATAAAGCGATTTTTTTAAACATTTGTTAAATAAGTATTTAAATTTAATCAAAAATTACATAGCAAAGAAATTACATGTTTTTGACAGTTACTCAGTTATGCATAAATAAATTCAATAACAGACAGCAAAATATTTATTAAAAATAAATGCGATATGAAGAAATTTCATTTTATTTTACATACATTTTTTTTACAAATCCTTTACAAATTTTAACTTTTTTAATTGCCCGATTTATTTTTATGATAAAAATATTTTGTAAATATTAATTTTTAACATCAATATCATAGAAATAAAGCGTACCTCTTAATTTTATATTATTTTTATTGTTATATTATTTGATGACAGTAAAATAATATTATATAAATAAAAATAAATAATTATGTTTAACTTACTGAATATATTTTGTAAAACATATTTATCATATTAATTTGATAAAAAATGATAAGGTATACAAAATAGGCATAAGACTATTTAATTTGACATTTTATTTATTATTTTATTTTTGATAATTACTTAGTGTAATTAACATTGTTATATCTATTGAGACAATAAAAAGTGATATCAAAATATTTGCTAGATATAATTTATATTATCGTTAGTTGCTAATGACTCCTGTACAAAAGCTTAGAAATATTAAAAATAATTTTTCATTGCTATTCAATAGTCTTATCTTCTCTATAGTATCTGTAAAACCTGATTTACCTTACTATGTATAGAAAAATAAAGTCAGACATTGAAATTTCGTTCGACTAACATTCCCCTAAAAAAATTAAAAAATATTTTAATTTTGTTAATTTTAGTTATTGCAGTCTTGACTTTGTTAATATAATTTTGTCTATTTATAAAAATACTTTTTGAAATTTAGTCATATATCCAAATGAAATAATATCTTCTAGTTTACGCAATGAAAGAAATGTTTACAATATGTGTTGAGCACTAATGGCGATAACATGACTATTTAAATAGTCATGTTTGCAATTATGCATATTTGCAATTTTTACAATGAGTAGTTTTTTGGTTTTTAGAGGTACATATATTTTACTAATAATTAATATTTTTGAATTTTGAATTATAAAAATACTTTTGTTAAAATCATGTTTACATAATATAAATTATAACAAAAATATCAAAATTTATTTATATTTTTTTATTTAAAATGCTCTTTTGAAGTTTAATAGAATCTATAGTTTATAATTAATTAAATTAATACATGGATGAAAAATTATAGTTACAATTAATTATAAACAAAATCTAACAAAAATATTAAATGAAAAACAGCAATCATTAATTATAACAATATTCAAGAGAAAAAGATTTGGGTTTAGCTATACTATCAAGAAAAAAGTCAAAGTTAAGAATTTAATTATTATATAAGAATATATAATACAATATAAGAAGATAAATATCGATTTAATATAATGATCAATATTTTAACTTATTTCATTTAATATTTCAGTACAGTCGACCATATTATTTCATAATTTATCTACAACCTACAAGCTTAGTTACATCTAGACTTTAATGTAACAATTTTAATTGAAACATTTTTAATATTCTCAACGGACATTTTAATTTTGTTAGTAACTATGTGCTGAAAACGCCTTTGACCTTTCTCCAGATTTTTTAGACCTATTTAATAAGAATGCCAAATAATAGAATCAATATTGGAAACTATACATTGATACAAATAATTTAAAAAAATATTTAGGATTTTTAAATTCGGAACAGTTTTGTTTTAATAATCTCATGTTCCTAATTGCTTTATTATAAATATAATTAACATATTCAGGAAAAGTTAAGTCGTGAGATGATAATAAACCGTGTTCGCGAACTTTCATTACTTTATTAACATTATGACCATTTTATTAATAAAATTATTGCACTCTTTAAAAATACAAAATAAAATTAGTCATATTTAAATAAATGTATAACAAATTATATTTATGTAATAATAGTTGTACCAATTGAATAAGTTTGATAATGTTTGTAGACGTTCAAAAGATATATCTATCAATAAAGGGACAGAGGTATTACGATAACAGTTACAGTATGGTGCTAAAGATGTCATGTTATTGTTATCTTTGTGAATTTTCAAATACAAACTATATAAACACATCTTAACCTGGGCTCATATGTACTACGCGTGCTTTACATATGTAAAGGTTCTTTAACAAAGTGTACATGTGTGCAAAATACAAATAATACATTTATATAAAAATAAAATAATATTCCATGTTTATAGGGCATCTCCGATTATCACCTGGTTGACAGATTTTTGACGGTATAATGACATGTCGTGTGATCATAAATATGTTATTTTGTATGTTCTTTTATTTTGATAGTTTCCGTTAGGAATATTCAAAAATGGTTGGATTTAAGTGTATTTGAAGATCTTTTGAAGTATAATAAATGCTGCAGGTATATCAAAAGTAATGTAATGACGAATTTTCTCATGCCACAGACATTGTTTCCATAGAAATTTCTGATTTATAATGATTTAAAAACGAAACTTAATGAGTTAGAAAATATATAATGCGTATATTTTACAAACTTAATAGGAAAATACAGGGTCTGTATGATAAAAAATGAAATTTTTTAATTGGGTAAGTATATATACATTTCAAGTATATAAATATGTTTCGGTAAAAATTTCATTTAAATATTAAGTTGTGAAGTAAGATTTTTAACGAAAATTATTGAGCATGTCTATAATGTAATGTTCCTCATTAGATAAATATCTTCTTAAACATGATTCACAACATATAAATTAAATGCAATTATATTAATATTAAGTAAAACGTTGAATTCGATATTAGTTTTTTTCAGATTTTCAATAAAAATAACTTTAAATTTATTTCTTTAAAAATATTCGATTACATATATTTAAAAAGTATGTATACTTTCTTAAATTATATATTATATGCAATATAATGTATGCAATATGATTCTTATAAAACCATAAAAGTCATACCTTCCAAGTTTTAAATTTAATTGAATATGAGTATTTTTTACATTACACTAAAAAACTATAGTAATTTAAGATTAAACATAAATTATTCCACACATAAAAAGTGGTCATTAAACTTCTACATTTTAATTCGAGAACACAAAATTTTTCTTTGTTAATATGTTAATAGACTGCAACAGTAATTACATATTATTATTTCATATATCTATTTCAAATTTCCAAAGTTATATTTAGCAGTACTGTATCTTTTTTAAGATCACCATTCATTACCCTTGTAATATTTAAATAATATATATTTCTTTTCAATACTCTAGATCAGAACTAATAACCAAAATGTTTTCCATGTCTAATAAGTTAATTGACCTATATTGAATTTTTTTAAAGTATTTATTAGATTAATAATTATAAAAACCAAACGTATTATGTAATAGCTTTTAAAAACATTAACTAAACTAAAAATTTGATCATATGAATTTTATAAACTTATAGTGGTTTTTTTTTATTAATGTCTGATTTTAATATTTCATTAAGTCAAATTTTAAATTCAATTAAGGTTATAAAGGCAGACTCATAACATTTTTGAGTTCTGTAATCATTTTTTCAACATTTATTAAAAAAAAATTGGTAAAGATAAACTATATTAGTAGATATAAGAAAAATAAAATCGAAATTATTTTGGTTTTTACCTGCCTCATTTAAAGTACAATTAGATAGGATTGTTTGAAAATAAAGAAACTATTCTTTACGTCTGATCAGGTTTCCATGTTTATAAACATGGTAAACAACAAGAATAATAAAAACGCAAGGCATTTTTTCATTCCTTCATTTTATTCTTGATGATGATTGTTTATTTGCGGGATGTACAGTTTTTTCACAGTTCAATGGTTTTTTATTCAACGTTGTTTTTAACAATCCTTTCTATCGTTGTCACGGTGTCCTATGTACAATATCTCATAACACCTCACACAAATACAGCAGTGCTTCTTCTACCACACTGTAAATTCTTGTCGACCAACTCTTCTTCTACGATGAAGTAAATGATTATAACAATACGCGAGAGGATGTAAAAATCACGAAAAGAAATATGCCATTGTGATTTGTATACTTATGACTTTTGTTGTTGACACGTCAAGGGGTCGAAAAAACTTCGAAAAATCGAGATGAGATCCCAAACAATGAGTTACATGACCTGATAAGCCTTTTATTTCTTTGTTTTCATATAGTATTCAGAGTCTGATATTGTTTTCTCGGTAGGTATAATAGTACATTATCATCTTAATTTTCTTAAGTTAGATGAATTTCAATCAAAATAATTTAATTATGAATTATTTTTATCAAATAAAATTTGACGCCAATATATAATTGTATGTAAATCACCCGAACAACTGTTTGGAAAAACAAAACAAAACAATAAAAATAAAAATTTTATTTAATTTTTATAGATTTTCATATTAATTATAAATTTTGAAAAAGTACCATTAAGTTCGTAATCATAATAGAGACGTGTTTTATTAATCTCGACATCAACTGATTTTAAAATATGGCCATGTTTAAAACCACCTTCATTGACGTGTGTTTTAATAACTAAATTCTTATTAAAAAAAATAAGATTTTAAGTTAAACAATTCTGCACAAATTTGTACATAATTATTAAATGGATATTGTAGTTATATTATGTGAATATTTTTTTAATTCATCACACTATTTTCAAATTAAAATGTTATTTGTGAAACGTCATCTTATTTATATTTATTTAGTTATTTATTCAAAATTATAAAAAAAAAAGTTCAATCAGGTTATATAATTTGAAACATTTGAAATTCGTTAAAAATTTAATCTAGTATGTATTTAGAGAAAATCAGTAGTTATATAATTCCTACTTGTTATTGTTAGATTTTTTTTTTATTATGAATCTATTTTGTCAAGCAATCACGTGTTATATTGTAAAAATTGTATAAAGGGGACAGTTTGACTTTTGAAAAGATGACGAATAAAGTTAAACGAAGCATGAAAGCAACTTTGTTATGAATAACGTTCATTTAGATTTTTTTTATTTCTTAAAATCAACGTACAAGTGTGAATAAGAAGATAACCCTCGATAAAAATACCTTTGTTCAGTAAAATTCAACTTTTTTATACTCTTAAATAAAAATGCCATTTTGTCGTAAAATATTTTACATAAATGTATACATTGCAAATAAAATTTCACATTTTTACTAATATTCATAGTTATTTAATTAAAAGTCAAATAATAATTATTTATAATTATTAAATTTCCATAGTGTATTATAGGCTGATTTAATGGAATTATTGTAAATTTTTTCTAGTTTAAACTTTAATTGGTCAACTATTATTGTTGAACTAGATTCTTTATTTATGTATGAAACTTTCACTATAGATAAAACTAAGAGTAATTTTAATATGGGAAAACCTAATTTCAAAAAAAAAAATAAACGGTACAACCTTCTTCAGAAAAAAAACTTTCATGTCAATTACTTCAAGCTAAACAGTTATTATACATATTTTTTGATCAATAAAATATTTAAGTTTATTCACTAATAATAAATTATATTGACACATTTGTTTTATTTGTGACTCACCTAGCTAAGTTAGTAATGTGTCGTGTCTCAATGAATGAATAGGTATCTGGATTCGATTTTATTATACTGGGCTAAGTAAGTATTCATGTCTTATCTAGTGCAAGCAATAATTTTTTGGAGAGAATTTTAAACATAAATATCATAAGTAGCGTTCAGAATTTGGCGGAAGTCGTATTTTTATTCTTAGGAAATAGGATTAGTAATATAAAAATTTTAATTAACTTGTGAATCCTAATTATAAATATCAAATATTTATTTGTTTGTTATAATTTGTTATTAATGTTTTTTTATCAATAAAAAAATTGATTACTATTATTTTATTAAAGATTTTGTCAATTAATATTTATAGTGAAACATACACGTATAAAATAATGTATTGAGACATATTAATAATTATGCTTTGAACTTCATCATAATTTTTTTTGCTAAAATGGTTAATACAACAAATATAAAACTATTGAAAAATAAAAATTAGTTTCTATTATTTTTTATCCGTAAACACCGTGTAGATAAATAAAAATGAACTTAAATTAATTTTAGCCTAAGTGTGATAACGGTATCATTTTGATAAAATAATTCTTGAGAGTATCTAAAGTATGTCCTCAATATAAAACCACATCATTTTGGTAACATTTTATGTCTGAATAGTTTTATTCAATCACAGTAATATCACACTAATGGCACTCCAATTGTGACTGAGGGTTTAAAATTGTTCATCTTTTATTCGCTTTTCTTTTTGTATACTTTTTCTGGTATGTATTGTCAGGAATGTATTTGAAAAGCCACCCAAATAGTTAGTAAAAGCTTTTTTTATTACTTTTAGTTTTGCTTTTTACTAATAGAAATTCCAATTTTTATAGTGGATGTCAAATACAAGACTACTATTAAATACTTAGCCCTTTTAAGTACCAGCTAGAGTTTTTTCGCTAATATTTAACAGCAAATACTTTTTAAAAAACATAATATTTCATTAAATTAATTGTATTACATTAAATAATTATTAATTTTATTCATAGTATATTATTATTATTTTTAATAGAAACTTTGATATTTTGTTTATTCAATTCCGGTCTTGGATCTTTTAGCACCTCATGCAAGCATTATTTTGAAACATTTTAATTATTTATAACTTTTTTGATTTGAACTGACAAATAAGAAAAAATAATAATCCTTGAAAATATCATAAAACATCGCACTTTTTTTTTGCTTAGGCGCCTAGATCATTACACACGACGATCATATCAAAAAGCCACTGTGCATATTGTATAGTTATACATGAAATTTTTAAGTAATTATTAAAACTGTATAAAAAAATCATGCGCGTTCTTTTTTTAACAAAATCATTCATTTCATTTAAGTTGACTTATTTATCAACAACTTAGTAACACAATTTACAGTTATTTTTGTCAAGTAAAATTTATTTATATGTAAAAAAATAATAAACTCCTATATATATATTTTTTTTTCTTTACTTATATATTTTATTTACATTAAATATCAATAATAGACAAATAAGAAATATACACAAATATTCTTTTTAATAAATGAATCAAAATAAATTAAAATATTAAAAACTAATGATTAATGTAATATTTAAGATACAGCGGTTGTTAAATGCTTGATATATTTAAATAAATTTATACATAAATTAAAATGAGGTATAATGAAAAAATACGAATCTTTTATTTTCCAATAACTAATTTATAATATTATATCAAATAATCATAAATCGGTAATTTTTTAAAATAAACGCTAGTAATTTTTACATATTGTTAAACAATTAAGTTTTTAGCTTTTTAGTCTCATTAAAGGCTATAGCGACCTCAACCAAAAGGGAGGTTCTCTTAACCATTGATACTCTGGGATGGGTTAATCCGTCAATGGCAAGATGGATGGCGACTCCACTTACTGGACTGATTTCTTGCTCGTCAAATAAAGCCGCCCATGACCGAGTTTTGAACCTGTGGCAGTGCGCGTCAAGGTCTGTCGCTTTACCGATTCGGCCACACCGTCTCTCTTAATCAATATAGTAATAAGATAATATTATTCCATAGTATGAAATATTTTGGCTATTTTTCAATCTCATTAAAAATTGTAAGTAATTAATTTGAATGTGTACGTTAGAAAAAAGTGATTCTATAATATGTATAAGCGTGTGCAGAGCATTTTTAATTCTAGGGTTGAATTAAAGTAATATTTGAATGGAGGCTTAACTAACACTTATTACACATCAAGCTTCTCAATGATTGTGATGTGGTAAAAACTCATGAGTTAGTTATAATTTTTCTGCACTTCCATTTGATAGAAATTCAAAGCAAATGTGAAATATAGACTAGAGTTCTTATTGCAACTACAACTTGGAAAGCGTATTTTTTGTTTTTAATTTTACAAAATTCAATATTTACATGTTACTTTAAACAAACTAGTAAATTTTTTTTTTTTTTTTATACAGAGTAAAACAGATTTAACTAACAACTTTTGATACAATTTACATTTTACTGTGATTTATCTTTTTAATAGCTTATGCATTTATAATTTATGTATAATCTTATTTTTTATTGTTATTTTAAACAATAATGATAATAAAGCATTTTCACATGGGTTGGGTTGGGTTTGGGTTGGGTAGACACCCGTCTATTATAAATATATATATATTTATATATCAATTATATCAAAAGTTGTAAGAGTCAGTCCCACCTGATATATGTTTGAACTTATTTAAAAGTGGACAATTTTAATAAATAATATTTTTTATTTTAAATTAATATAAGCAATTTTACCTCACATAAACTAAGCACAATTTTTTCATGTAATAATTTCATTTTCGAAAACGTATGTTTTTCAAAGAAATATATTAACTTTAAGATTAATAGTAATGTGATTCAGCAAAACAAATAAATAAAATAATTTACTTTCTTCTAAAATAGTTAAGGCACTGTAACTTTTAGGAAATGAGCCGGATTACCAGCTTTAGGAGCAAACCTTAAGTTAACTTGATTAGGTGAACCTTCATTAACGGTTAAAAATGAATTCCAGTCAACATAAAAATATAAACCGTTTCTTGGAATTCCGGACTTTGGTGATGATGTTACAGGGTTAACAGCCGGTGGGGGTTCACTAGCAGTTTCGCCACCTCCAAATGACTCGGCTAGTTGAGAAATACTTGGGTTGGCATCGGTAGCCACGGCAGTCAAAGAATTCCTTTCACTAGAATCAGAAGTTACTTCAACAGAACTTGCCTCTGATGATGAATCTGTGACTGTAGAAGTTGTAACGTCTATAGGTGTTTCAGACGACGTACTTGTGTCGGTGTTAGCTAATAATATTTCTGTAGTTATCGTCGTCGGTATTGTTGTTGATGTTGTTGTTGTTGTAGTCGTTTCAGTAGCATTTTCGGGTTCTTGACGTTTAAATTCAATTTTATTTTTTTCAGCTAATTGTTGGAGTTCGTCCATTGATAAAGGATCAGGTATATTTTGTGCCTTAATTAAGGGCTCTGTTTTTTTCACAGAAATCTCTGTGGAACCAGCTGGCAAATCCGAATCGATTTCTTTGGAATTGTCGTCGAAAAAAACTTCGTAGCCAGTGAATGACGAATTTTCAGTACTAGATGGCTCATCGATGGTTTTTATAGCTTCTGTAATGTTTTGCAATTTTTTTTGAATTGCTTCTTGGGATAAAGTAATAGTATTCTTGTCATCAGCAAGAAGTTTAATGTTTTGAACGATCTTAGCTATCTTGTTAACATCCAGTGTTTTTATTGATGAATCTGAAGGATTGAATACGTGATTTCTGGTTGATTTTTCGACACTATCAAATAATTTTCCTATTTCAGATACATTTACATTTCCATTTCCAGTTTCTAACAATACGGTCTTTAAAACTTTTTCATCCATAGTTTCTGTGTCACTTAAATCGTTATCATCTTTGCGTCTTTCTACTTCTATTGGTTTTATCATTGGCACTTTTGGCGTGTCCAACAATCCATACGATGCTAATAGTGATTTCATCTCAACATCTTCAATTTTTGCGCTTCTACCTTCGGGGATTTTTTTAAACGTGGCATAAGCATTTAAATCTATCGATGGGCCTATGTTTTTCTTTGCTGCAAGTTCTCCTTCTGTTACAGAGCTAGGTATCGACTCTAAAGACTTAGAACTTTTTGCAGGTGTTTTTCTACTTTGTACAGTAACAAAAATCATGGGTGGTTCGGTCGTAGGAGTACGACCTATTGTCTTATCCATACTAGCCGGGTACCCGTAAGAGAGTGGTGATTGTCCTTCTGGTATAGAAACAGTATTTGTTTCTTTTACTTGATTATTCATATAAACTATTGGTATAGGACTGGTGACAGATGTAGATTTTTTGTCTTTTGAAGCATCAGAACGACTTACACGAGAGCTATGAGAAAAATCATTAAGAAATTCTAAAACTTCGCCACGAGTCATTTTCGGAAATCCGGATGATTCTAAATACTTTTGAATTCCTTCTACAGCTGATTCTAGCTTTTGATCTTTAAGTGGATGTCCATTGATTAAAATAATGAATGAAAATAATATTGATATCTAAAATAAATAAATAAAGTGATTATTAATTTTAAATTTCAATCAAGATTACAAAAATATTAATAATTATTTAAAAGCGTGAATTATTAACAGGTCATATGTAATATATTATAGAAAACTTGGATAAAGAATATATTCCAGGTTTAGCGAATAACTTATTCATAAATGAATAAACTTAAAATAACGGGTTTATAATTAAATTATAAAGAAAGTATAAAATTAACCTATGTCTTGTCGAGTCTACAAATGTCAATAGTAATAGTAATAGTAAAAATAAAAACGTGGATAATTACTTAAATGGTAATGTTATTTAAATAATATGGTAATGAATTTGGTAAAATATAATTTAATAAAATTGATTAGTAGTTTAAACATTTTAATGTAATTGACAAACATAAAAAAAGTTATCTTAATATAAAGTGAATATTTTGAAAAAGAATGCTACTAATGGATAAAAGTTTAATAATAATTATTTTAAAATTTATTTTCTAACATTTTTTATATTGTACTTTGTCTAAGAATATCTAAGATGAATAAAATATGTATCTTTCAGGATATTGCGTTTAACCACTAATTTTAGAGTCAAGGTCAAAAAGAGAGAAAGTAAAACACTCATATATTAATAATTTGTAATCAGTAACACCGTTACAATATCAACTTTTTAGGAAAGAAAAAACACAAAACGTGTTTTTGATAAACATTTTCTAATATATACATAATTGCAATGAGTGTAAAAATTAATTTTTAATTCCACAGAATGATTAACCATATTGTGTAATAAAATTCACCATGAAATAAATAAGTGAAACTTCTTCTAAAATGAATATTTTAACATCTTATAAAGAATATTATAGAAAACAAATAATCCAGTAAATTTAATAAATGATGTTTTTTTACTATTTGTTTTATTTGTTTTTTAAATTTTAAAATGTTTTATTTTAAGCTTTACACGATTACAAAATTAGTATAGTCAAATATAAAATTTAGGAAGTTTTAAACAACAAGACTTAGATCTTTTTGAAAGGAAAATCATGAAAAATTCAAAATCAGTTATTCCTATAATGCTAATACAATTAAAATTTACATTAAAATTTTCTGTTAATATAAATTTAAACTTGAAATCAATAACATGATAATAATCATAAAGTTGATTATTTCAGTCATTCACAATTTTTTAAAGTTCAATGCATTTGCATTTCATACGTTTTATGTTTACATATTTTTTTTTAATTTTCTTATTATTTAAGGGACATATTAGTTTTATGAAATTTTTAGACTGGTTTTCAGAATTATTTTTGTGTGATTAACTAATTTTTTGAACTTTTAGGCACACAGCTCCTTAATGATTCAAGTCTTCAACTAGAAAAAATCCGTCGAAATTTACATAATTGACGTGATATAATATTAAAGAATATAATATTTTATCGTGAATAGTATTACGTTTACAATATTGGAACAAAAAAAAATTATTATTACAAAAATATTTTATAATGTACTATAACTATTAATTATATTATCAAATGATTATTGATTCAGTATTTCATAATGTATAACTCTTACATAATATTTATTTATGTCTCAGAGCTTTAAGCAAATGTATATTTGTTAAGAAAGTTCGTATTGGTATTTTATTTCAATGCAAATTCGTTTTAGTCTGTCTATATTTTAGATACGAAATTTTATCTTGCACAGTTCAATTTTTTTTTTTTAATTGACATATTTTAGATTATTACAAAATATTTTAAATATTTAAAAAAAAAAAGTTTATTCCATATTGTTTTTTTTTTGTGTGATACTAGAAATCAGAAAACAAATTTTTGAGTGTAAAAACAAGAATATTATAAATAAATAATATAATCCATCGTCATTTAGTATCAGGATAGATAGACGACTTACTAGGAAAATTTAGGTTGGTTTCTATTTTTTTATACCTAAACGGGGGAAGAAGTGCGGCCAAGAAATGATTAACAAAAACAACAGCATTCGCGCTCACCACTAGTCCACATTTCAAATGATAATAAATTCCAAAGTATTGGTCCAAAAGTTGTTATTGTTACATTTTCGGTTTTTTTAACGCTTATAGTCCTTAACTTTATTTACATGTAAAATGTGGCTCACTCTATTTTAACAAAAAAATGAATTCAAAGGGTTGTTAAATAAATACCATTGATCTAGCGCGATCTTGCGGAGGACTTTACTAACTAATAAAAATAATAATTCTGTAAGTATATTACCAGATTTCATGAGTGAATACAGATTGATTAGTATTTTATAAAGATACTATACTCATCTGACTTTTTTAATTATTGAACTAAAAATCATTTTGAAATTTATTTTATAAACGTGAAATTTATATTCGTAACTCGAACAAAAGTACTTCATGGTTTTGTATGAAAAAATTTACTTATAAATTGAATAATTTTTGACAATTACTTGATTTTTACTATAAAAAAATTGACCTTTTTTTAATTTCATACAATTTCAAAAAATATCTAATGTAATTTCTATTTTGATATTAGTTTTAAATGTATTTTTGTTATTGTCGACATCGAAATTAATTATCATTATAACGTATAAGTAAGTATTTTTTTTCTAATTTTTTATGTATCACATAATATCTTGTTAAGTCTAATTCAGATTTGGGTTGATTAAATAAAATTAGTTGCAGTGCTAAATAAAGTTCACGTAAAATAAACATTTAAATATTGATTACAATATGATAATTCTTCTGCATTTTATGTTAACGTAATTTATCCCTTATTTTATATAGTATTGTACAGGACTTTTTAAAATTATTTTTGAAAAATAAATAAATTATTGAAAAAAATCATAATGTATATAAGACACTTGAGTAAAAGGGATTTAAGAGACAAAATTTGATACAGAAACAATTGATTTTAATGACATTAAAGTAGTATTAAGTGTCAGACAGTTTCTGAATAATTTTGTCTTCAATAACTCTACCGTTACCTTTAAAAATAACTATGTTATTTTTTTGTACTTTATATTTATTTGCATTGTTTTTTTCATATTTTTGGTTAGTAACTCATATTTTTGTTACATAAAGAATTTATAGTACTTATTTAAATTTGTAAGTACATTGTCTATTGTTATCCATTAAATATTCATGTAGGAACAATAAATAATTTTATTATTCATTTTAAATGCAAAAAATGTACTCTAGAATATAAATCTTAATATAATTGAACTCTACATTATAACATATGTACTTGCATATTGTTCATAAATTTACATAGCTTATATTTTATGATAGCAACAAAATCTTAAATATATCTTTCACGCGTACTTCCAAAGTTATTATAAAACGAGGGGTAGAAGTAACTCAAACGAAAAAAAATTTTAAATATATTATCCCTATATGTACGAGCATGTACTGTTCAAAATATCACAATATTAAAACAAGTGACTTAAACCATTAATCTTTGTTTTAAGTAATTATGATGTCATGGAATTTCTTATGGAGACATTTTGATTTATATTATTTACTTCATTATAAAATATTATTTAAATTTTAGTCTTTTTTGGTAGGCTTTAAAGTTACATTTTTACCAATATTTATTTGAAATTCCAAACAAATTATTTTACATTGTTGAGTTTTAGTAAAATAAATACAAAAAGTCAGTAAACTTCCACATTACAAATATTTTTTATTATTTATAAGACCATTACCAGACATTGATTAGAATATTATATCTTTGCAGACATATAAGATAATATTGCATTAAAAAAGTTTTTCAGTTTATTTAAATACTGTATTACACATTGTAAACAAATTTTTTTATTTAATACTATAGATGCGCTTAAAAGTCCGGATAATCGTCATTTTAGGATTGTAAAATAAACTATTACGTAACTCGTAAAAAAATTCAGTCATTGCTATAAAACAAAAACACAATTACTATGGTCTATGAATGCATAAACAAATAAACTACATCGTTTTTTCATTAACCAACTCTGGTATTAAGTAATAATGATTGATATAATATCAATGTTAGTATGACGGTTGAATGAGCGCCGAGGAAATAATATTTTACGGTTTCATCAAACCCATCGGTGTGTAATGAATGTAATAATATATTAAAAGTACCAGTGTCAGTGTAAGAACGACGCGACGGACGTTTACGATTATATTCTGTAGAAAGTGAAATGAGTGAAAGTATTATGTGCGTGTGAGTATGTGAGATACTGTAATGTTTGTGATTAATATTATGTTCCCAAGGCACTGTGCTCTCAGTCATCGATTAAAAGAAATCATATGTGTATTTTGAAATAATAAACACGTTAACATTAGTCCGTTTTAATTTTAATTCGGTCACACAGGCGTATAATTGTTTAATATATTTTAATTTGCATATTTTTAAAAGTGTTTCTCAGCCATCATTATTATACATTAATAGTGAAATTGTGAGAATTTCCAATAATGAATTTACATTTCATTAATTTTTAACATAAAAACGATTTTTTCAGTTTTCGTGAAAAAGTAATCAAAACATTGTCAAACAATTTCAAAATATGAAATAATGAAATTGCATTCATATATCCGTACATTCTGTTGGTAATTTTTTTTATTTCATTTAAGATGAATATATATTTTCATTCGATTTTATTTGGCTTATTATTGTCAATAGTTTAACATAAGTTCTAGGAGTATTATTGTGACAGAATTTACTGTACCGTAGATTGTTAATTGACGACACGCGTTTTGAGTATTTTGTACTATTGTTGCTTGTTCAAAAAATCACGTCAACTATTAAAAACAATAGTACACTAAGATTACGGAATTTACTAAACACAGGATGTACATGTGTGTTATACTTCTGTTGTTGTTATATAACAATTATAATAATAATAATAATAATAAATTCTATCAACAAGTAGTTTTACATGGTCTGACGCATACAGCAAATTATTCAAAGAAAGTGTTTTACTAATACTGAAATTATAATATTGAAACTGAATTACAATTTTTATAAGTTAAGATTAGAAAGAAAAGTAAAATAAACGAATTGAAAGACATTTTGTAAATTCCAATATGTAGTGCTAAAATACAATAAATAGCACTACACAAAATAAATTTAAAATTGCATGAAAGTATTTTACACAATTATATAATTATAAATTTCTTTTTTTTTTTCTAAAATAAAATAAAATAAATAACTTTTAAAATGAAATCTTTTCATTTTTGTTTATATTTAAAAAGCAAAATTTGATTAAATTTATATAAAAAATTCACTAATATCTTTCAAAAGTACCAACTTTAAAATTTACATGAGAAAATTAAAAAAACATATATAGCATAAGTATTCCATTTACAATATAAATATCACCCGAAATTTGAAAGTGTCATTGATAAAATTAATTAAAATTTGTAATATAAAAATAATTTTTATGATATATATTTGGAATGCTATAATTGCATTTACTTTATTGTAGTCATATTTGAAGTACAAAACTATCGTAAAAAAATTACGCAAACAGAAAGTAACTGTCATATAACAATAATATCATGGTCGATTAAAGATGTGTAAAGAACGAAAAGACTGCAATTATTTCTTTAATTTTTACTAACAGCTATTTATTAGAAAATAAATTTTTATCTTGTAAAAAATAAAATCCTCTGCTGTTATTATATAGATTCTATTTATATCTAATTCTTGAATAGACACAATGAAAAAGGGTTGTTAAAAACAGACAAATTAAAGTAAATATATCTCTTATATATAATATGTTTCATACATCATAACATCTGATATTTTAAAAATCCCTAACATGCATTGTGACTCAGATGATTGGTAATCTTTAAAAGTTGTATAATCCTAAAGCAAGGCCAACCCGTTACTCAGACTCATAATCTTATCTATTGTGATAAATGTATAAATGTATACTCATTGATACTAAAGTATTTTTAAGCTCAGGTTGTCCGATTTTTTAAAAAAGAAATGAAATTTGACATTTTATAATTTATAATTTCATTCATAATATCTTACAGAAATGTATTATATAATATATATTTAAAATAAATTACTCTTCTTCTTTCTTTTTCTTAATCCCAACTATTTGGGATCGGCCAAATTTAAAATAAACTACTAAATTACTTAAATAAATAAAAATAAAATAAAACTTATTTGACCATAATTTAATAGGTTATTAGTGGGTCCTTGACTTTTTTTTTAAATATCATAAAAGTTTCTTTTATTATTTAGACTTAATTAGTCAATATTATCACTTATATATTACTTTAAATACTATCTTAGAACATAAAATAATTTCCAACTTAGCAAATAACTGAAATAACCGTTGAAAATCATTTAAAAAATGTAATTATTTTCATATTGCACCAAACCCTAATTTACTTTCATTTTTCACTTTTTTTATCACAATGTTTGGACAGTTAACCCAGCGGGCTTCAAGAAATAAAATCTGGTTATTCTGTTAAACATTAATGTGCTTCAGACACCACAAGGTTAAAACCAGTTTTGTGAAACTATTAATGCATAAACTATATTTACTCGATATAAGTAAGTACAAATAGTAAAAAAACTATCGCTTACTAATTAATGCTACTCTCTACCAAACTGGAGGCTACAGACTGTAAATAATTTACCAATTATTGTACAGTTAGATTTGATTTAATATTGATTAAAAAACAAGTAAAGTACATCATGAGATAGAACATTGTTTAATATGTGTAAGTACAGGTGAGGACTGTCAAAAAAAACACGAGATGTTAAATAATTTTAGGGGTAAATAAAAAAATATTTATAACGATTATAGTTAGTTTACAATATAAGATCCACTATCTTGTATATTGATCTATTACAGCATAACAACTTTCTTTTTAAATATTCACAATAATTTTAAGTAGATTAATTACTGCAAATTAATTCGAAGAGGAGCAAATACAAGGTGGCTCTTTTAACGCTAGGCAATTGATTTTTTTTATAATAATAAAATTTCTAATAACAAATATGTTAAGAAAATTATTTTTAGTATTTTTTAGCCTATAAAATAAAAAATGATCAAATTAAGAAAATCATAATAACTTTTTGACCAGAATTTTAAAAGTAAATTCAATTTTAAAATATAGACTGTAGGCGAGATGATGCAGGTATGACAATATTTATAAATAGACATTTCTCTGTCGCATCCTTCTTTCCGTCTAAGTATAAAAATTTTATTAACTTACAAAGTACTAGTCCAAAAGTAATTATCGAATAGTCATTTTCTTAATTAGATGATATTTTTCTATGTTCAATAAATATGTATGTTGCCATTGAAAAAAATAATGTTGACACTCTTACAAGGAATAAGGGATGAATTAAAAAAGTAATGAATGACTGATAAATAGAAAAATATTTAAAACTAAGAAATATCCAAAATAATTTTTTTTATTATTATTTCAAGAGAAATCGAATGACTAGAGTTAGAAGAATCACTCTGTTTATATTGGGACAAGGGATGCTATAGTGTCCCCCCATCCAGTTCATACTGTGAAGTATTCATACTTTAATCGAAGTTCTTCAAGAAATGTATTATTTTATACTAAAAATGATTGAGAACTTACTATTTTCCATCGACTGAGAATTGGACACAAAGTCCTTGGTACAGACATGATCTGCACTCTTCACAAGCACAAAAAAAAATGTTCAGAATTTTGTCGTTGTACGTAGACGAACGATAGGAATCGCGATTGAAGCATCGGTCACTGACGTCCGACTGAAGTGCATACTGCTGTTTAAACAGTTCTAAGACTTGTAGACATTCACCAGTTATCCCACTTCTGCACGCACTCTTTACTCTCCCCAACTAGTAACTTGAATGGCGTTCAAAGTTGTATCACCATTATAACATTCATTTTTTAATATGAATCCAAATAAAGAATAAAGTTAACTATAGTATAGTAGAAATATTGTATGAATAAATTTAAATTGTATCAGTCAATAAAAATCGAATTTATGCGCTAAATGACAAATACATTATACAGTGGTGTATTTTCAAAAAATATTCAGAGGGTTTGAATAATGTTAAAAATAGTAAAACCAATGAAGTGGGTAAGAATAGGAAACACACACCTCAATTTCCCTGCTACTAAAACAATTATTAATTTTTTAAAAAAAAATAATAATCCGCATAAAATATGAATACTCATTCTAATTTATAAAAAAATTAATCATTATGTTATTACAATTACTTAAATATTTGAAAAAATAATTGATTAATCAATGCCAATCAGACTAACAACTTATGTAATAATTTATTAATAGCATCCTGCAGCGTTTCCAAAAAAATACTAATTGTATAACTCAAATTTGAACGGGGCAATTAATAATAAAATATTCAATTTAATTATTATACAAACCTTTAAAACTATCGATTAATCAGGTATTATTCAATTTTTTTTCTTATTATAGACAAAGAATAAAATAAACATGTTTTTAATGTACTCATTCAAAACTATAAAAATTGTTTAAAAAAAAAGTAACGCAAAATATTTGCTGGTTCATAAGTTATTTCAGAATATGTTAGGACATTTTATGTAGCAGGGTCTAGAATCGAACCGAAAAAACTGGTTCCTAAACCGAAACCGCTACCAAAATACAAATCAATGGAATTATTAAAAAAAAACAGTGCGTATTATGAGTACGCTCAGATGAAGTAAAAATTCTTTCGTTATGAAAATATCGCATGAAAATTGCATCTATTGTGGTTCTTTAAAATTATAGTTTGAAAATACAGTCCTAAATTATAATATAAAATATACTTTATAATCAACCATAGCCGACCGTGATGCTCGATAATATTTTTTTTCGAACCCTCAGTAAAGAAGTTTCACTTCTAAAACCAAAATCTAATAAAAAAAAACCAACACAGTGGGGTCACGGCACAGTAGGGATGTGGCATATTTGGGTCAAGTATAATAATACTATATAGTACTAAATATATACTAAATAGTGATTTAAATCACTATCATAAAAAAAGCTTCGATGCAAACTTGTATGATCTCCTATTTCCTTATTTATATCCAAATTATAGGTAAAGACATCATTAATCTATAAAAAAAAATTATATTGATGCATAGATTTTTCAAGAAGTTATAGCATTATAAAGTTAAAAATATAAAAAAGAATTTTTTTACAAAAATCGTACCTTTTTATTAACTATGATGTCTGTATTCACCGTGAAGACAAAATAAAGTCCGACATTTTTTTCTCTATAATAAAGTATATTACATTAGCTTTAATTTAAAATATATATAAAAGTATCAGACTTTGCGGAACACTTTCAAAAGTTAAGTACAAAAAGTAAATTTTTTGTGAAAAAGTTGTCATTTTAAATCCCCCCTGTCTACCCACAAACAGGATTTAAAGGGTTAGATTTATAAAAAAAATATTTATAAAAAATGAAAAGTAAAGATATCAAGCATCTATTAAGAAAAAATTATATTGATTTAGTCATTTTTGGAAAAGTTGACAGTTTAAAAAAAAAAAAATTTTGAAAATTAGCAATTTTTAAATTAGTAATTTTTTTGGAGGTTTCTTCCATTTACAAGAAATGAGGGAAATTTTTTAAATTTATGAGGCTAATGTATTCGACTAGATATGATTTGTGATCTTTTGACGTATCATTGAAAAAATATAGATGCATAATGTCTTTATCTATCATTTGGCATATTTTTTTATAAATCTGACCCTGAACCTGTCCACATGGATTCAATATGACAACTTTTTTACAAAAAAAATAACTTTTTCAACTTAAATTTTGAAAGTGTTCATGAAAGTATGTGTTTAACATTGATAATGGTAACATTGTTTCCAAAATATGTATGCCCGATTTGGCCCTTGGATTTTTTATTTGAATATTTTTAATATTATTTAGTTTTAAATTAATAATATTTTTAATATAGTTTTAATATTAAATAGTATTAGATAAAAATGATCAATTTTTATTATATATATTTTTCAAAATCAACTTTTCACGTTGTTTCCAAATCTGCATTTAGAATTTTTCTATTACTCTAAGTTTTGACACTAATAAAGTTCGAAAAATTTTTTTCATATTAAAATATATTACATAAACATAATTTTAAGATATATATAATAGTGTCAGTATTTCCCGAACACTTACAAAAGTTAAGTTGAATAATTAAATTTTTTGTGAAAAAGTTGTCATTTTAAATACCAACCTGAGGGCAGATAAAGGGTTAGATTTATAAAAAATATATAACAAATGATAGGTAAAGACATCAAGCATCTATCAAAAAAAAATGATATTGATCCATACATTTTTCAAAAAGTTATAACATTTTAAAGTTCAAAATATAAAAAAAATTTCTTTACAAAAATCGTAATTTTTTTATTAATTTTAATGTGTGTTTTCACAATGAAGACAAAATAAAGTCCGAAATTTTATTTTTCCATAATAAAGTACATTAGCTTTAATTTAAGATATATATATAAGTGTCAGTAATTCCGGAACACTTTCAAAGGTTATGTAGAAAAATTAAATTTTTTGTGAAAAAGTTGTCATTTTAAATCTTCCCCTGTGGGCAAGTAAAGGGTTAAATTTATAAAAAAATATATCAAATGATAGGTAAAGACAGCATACGTCTATAAAAAAAAAAATTATATTGGTTTGTTCATTTTTGAAAAAGTTATGGCAGTTTTAAGAAAAAAAAATTGAAAAAATTAGCGATTTTTAAATTTGTTATTTTTTTGGAGGTTTCCCTCATTTACGGGGAACGAGTGAAATTTTTTCAATTTTTGAGGGTAATATCTTCGACTAAATACGGTTTATGATCCTTGGCATATCGTTGAAAGAAATCGGTTCGGAGAGAGCTGAGAAAAAGTGGTAACAGACACACACACACACACAAAAAAAGCACATCATAGTAAGATCAATACCTTCTCAGCTTCACAGTGAAGCTAAAATGGTTGATGTTTGGGTTTCAATAATTTTAATTACGTGTTTTCTAAATTTCAAAATTATAAATTGTGAAATAAATGAGAGATTTTAAAGTTATTTAAACTCGTGGTTGCAAATATAATAGGTCAATAAAATAATTCTATTTTTGAACGCTGTAACATTCACCATTGTTGCCAATAAATTAAACCATACTTAAAATCATGAAAAAAGATAAAGGGATTGGACAGATGACCTTACCAACCATGCGGTTTTGTTATATATTATTTGTAGAAGGGGAAGTTTTTTAACTAACTACGCCATCATCTTCTATTTTACATGTATTTTTAAGATTCTCCACTCCGTTTTAAAGATTTTATATCCTGAAAAAATGTTTATCACTAGTGAGCTCTAGTGATAAACATTTTTAGCCAAATATCCCGTTTCTACTGAATTTCTATAACAAAACCGGATAACACTCTCTGTTTTCGCCAATGTCGTTGTGACCAGTACATTTTATCTTAGTCCGTGCTTATTACAAATATAAATAGGTATGTTATAGCTGATATTTTATCTGTGACAGACGTGAATAAAATCATTGACGAATATGATAGATAAACATATTTATATTGAATTACAGAACTTCACCAAAAAAACAACAAATGAATGTCTGTCTAATTTTAGTTATCAAACCCGTGTGTAGGATCTCTTTTTATGTGTCATTAATCTAGCCACATACTCGTATATTTTTCATAAATTAAAGAAAATAGCCTGTAATGTTTATCTTTCAAGCAAATTTTATCAGTAAATTAATGTATGTTATTGGACGCGTTTTTTATATTTCAATATTATACATTATTTTTACAAAAAATGGGCCCCAATACAATTTCAAAAAATTGTTATACAGAGTGATTCTTTTAACTCTAGTCGCTCAATTTCTCTTAAAATTTTAAGTTTAATAAAAATTTTTTTAGGTTTTTATTACTTACATGTGTATTTTCATTTATCTGTTATAAATTAGTTTTCAGGTTCATCTCTTATATCTTACAGGGGTATGAACTTTATTTTATAAATAAAAACTTACATAATTAACTAGCTTATAAAATAGAAATTATGTAACTAAGAAAATGGCTAGTTGATTACTACTTTTTAATGAGTATTTCAGAAATAATTAACAATTTAAAGTAATTACTAGTGGTAAGGAGTGAGTGCTGTTATTTTTATCACTAGTCACTTCTCGGTCGTACTCCTCCTGCCAAGATGCAAAATTATGAATATTTTCTGAATTACTGATCCAAAAGTTGTTTCCGACCAGTCATTTTCTAATTTCAAAAAATTTCTTTTTTATAAACTATTTTAATATATAAAAATTTCCATTAAAAAAAATAAAGTTTTCGCCTATATAAGATATAAGGGATGGACCTAAACTTAATTTTAGAATAGATAAATGAAAATACATATGTAACTAACAAAAACTAAAAAAAAAATGTTTATAAAACTTAATATTTTATGAAAAATTGAGTGCAAGGCTAGCGTTAAAAGATCACTATGTTTTTATGATAATAGACAAAAAATCTATATCAATATACAGGGTGGCCCACCACTCACTGACAACTTATAAATAACTTTTGTTCCAGTTAATATATTTAGCTGATTTTTTTTTTAAATAATAGTTATACGTTAGGTCCATAGCTATATCTCAATAATTAATTTTTTTACATTTTATTAAAAATATTATTTATTTTTTAAGTATAAGCTATTTAAGGGTTTTACATTTTTTTTTTTAATTTCTTCGAATTTCAAAAAATGATTAATTACTCCAAATCATTTTTTTGGCACAT